TGTCTGGGTGGGGCCCGGGGCTGGTGGGGCAGGGCTGGAGCAGGGAGCTCCGTTCGTGTAGCCCCCCACCCCGCCGGGGCCACACAGGATGCGGCGGGAGCGGGTTCCAGCACACGATACAGTTCGGACGGCAGTGGCTGGGGGCAGGCGGCACGGCCCAGTTGCTCCCGCACCAGCCCCTGGGCCCCACTCCCTGCCCAGGGCGGGTAGCAGGCCCCCCGCAGGGCAGGGTGCTGCCGCCCTAGGGGGCAGCCCGGGCCGTGGGGTGAGACGTGAGCGTCTCATGGCTGGTGTGGCACAGGCACTGGGGGAGTGCTGGGCGCCCGCCCCAGCTGGGCACTGTCCAAGCGGCCACGGTGCTGGAGACGGCGCAGGTCCGGGCGATGCCGCTGCAGCTCCTGGCGCAGCAGCCGGGGGCCTGCCTGTGCCCCGCAGCCCTGCACAGGGTCGCTCGCTGGTGCCCCTCACACGGGCATCGGCATCTCGTTGTACTCGTCCACCCCTTCCCGCTCGTCGAAGATCGGCTCCGCCTCCTCCGCGTCCAGCTGGGGAGAGACGAGCCAACGCGGCGGGTGGGTGGGGAGCCAGGGAAGAGGCAGCACCTGGGCCAGCGCTGCTGCTGCTGTCCCCCACGCCAGTGCCCGGGCAGCGTCTCCCCAGCCCCTCCCGCGGCCCCAGGGCAGGCAGGCCCCGCACCGGGCGAGCTCCGGCACGGCCCCGCCAGCTGCCCCAGGGGCTGGGGGTGCGGCTGGGCTCACAGCCCCTGTGCGGCCCCCGCACCCCCACCCCGGCCAGGCGGAGGCTGGCGCCTGAGGGCGTCCTGTGGCCTGGTCACCCCCCCCACCACACACACACACACACGGGACTTACACACTTCAGCTCGCGGGCGGTGAAGATTCGGGTGAGCAGGCACATGCGGAGCGGCACGGTGAGGATGAGGATGAAGGGGAAGGCCAGGGAGGCGGCGGTGGACATGACGGCCCAGAGCACGGCGAGGCACGCCAGCTGCAGGGCCGTGAAGAGGTGCATCCGCAGGCTGCGCACCTGGCCGGGGAGCCACACGGGTTAACGCCCCGGCCTGGTGCCGAGAGCGGCTTTCCCTGCCCCCCCGCCACCCGCAGAGCCCCCCCCCCCCGGCCCACCGCCCCCCCGCTGGCCCCGCGCCCCCCCCCACGGGTCCCCGGTGCTGGCCCCCCCCAACGCTGGTTCCAACCCCCCTCCTCCTGCAGTTTGGAATGGGACACCCGACACACACCCCCCCCCGCTGCTATCTGCCAATGGGCCCCCCCCACGCTGGCTCTGTGCCCCCCCAGTGCCCAATCGCCCCCCCCCCCCGGCGCAGACCTTTTTGACGTAGGTGACGTCGGGGTGGTGCTTGGGGGGCATGAGCAGCAGGTGCAGGCGCTCGTAGAACTGGATCCCGTTCAGCGAGGTGACGCCCATGTAGAGGAAGATCCCAAAGAGCACGGCCAGGGGGATGTGCCGCAGCAGGTCCCCGATGACGATGGACAGGCCTGGGGGGAGGCAGTCACTGAGCCCATGTGAGCCCTCTGCCCCGCTCACTGCTCTCTGCAAGCACAGCCCCCCCACACACACACACTGCCCCTCCCCCTGCTCTCTGCCAACACTGCCCTGCCCCCTCCCACCACTACTCACCCCGTAACAATGTGGGAGTAATTGTGTAATGTTTGTATGAGTCTTGTTTGTGCCTCAGTTTCCCCATACGCTGCCTTGTTGCCCCGGGGGGAGGGGTGGGGAAGGGGCCTGTCTGCTCTCAGGGCCGGCTGAGACACAGGCGCGGGTTCCCCTGGCTGGGCCTGGTCCCATCTCAGTGAGCCATCAGCAAATCCAAACGCCTGGACATGGACATCCGGCAACCCCCGCCCCCAAGGGGGATGGACACCCCCCCACCCCACACACACACACACACGGGGACTGGACAAGGATCCCCGGCGGAGAACCCAGGGCTGGGAGGGGGGAGGGGGGTTACATGGGGTCGCGGGAAGCAGTCGGGCTCTCACCTGGAGTCTGACCAACGATGCCGCACAGACAGACGGAGCCGGACCCCAGGGTTCCCCACAGCCGGGCTGGGCTCAGGGCTGGCCAGGACGGACCCTGCTTCCCCCTTCATTGCCCCGGGCTGCCCTAAGGCCCCTAGGCCGGGCGTCCGCTAACGACTGAACCCGGCTGTGCCCGCGCAGGGAGTGTCCCTGCCGGGGCTGGGCGAGGGGCCCTGATCCCTGCGAGCGGCCGAGTCTCCCTCAGGGGTGTCTCTGGGGGACTCGCTGCCCAGAGCTCGCGGGGGGGCTGCAGACCCAGAGGGCCAGTCTAGGGGGTGGTGAGGCCGTGTGGCTCACCCTGGAGGCAGAGCGGGACCCCCAGGGGGGCTGGCCCAGTGAAGGGGCCTCCCAGAGACCGTCCCAAAGCT